TCTTCAGCATGAAGAAGAGCAAGAAGTACTGGATGTGATGGTTTGGCCCCCACAGAGCCCTGATCTCAACATCATCAATGTGTCTGGGATTACATGAAGAGACAGAAGGATGTGAGGAAGCCTATATCCGCAGAAGATCTGTGGTTAGTTCTCGAAGCTGTTTGGAACAACCTACCAGCTGAGTTCCTTTAAAAACTGTGTGCAAGTGTACCTAGAAGAATTGATGCTGTTTGAAGCAAGGGGGTCATCAAATATTGATTTGATTTAGTAGTTCTTAATGACTTTGGCTGTATATTTGGGGTCGTTGTCCTGCTGCAGAATACATATGGGGCCAATAAACAATCATTTATATTTGTGAAAGCATTCTTTGTTTACAGCATTTTTTTCTCACCTGCCTAAAACTTTTGGACAGTACTGCATTTAGGAAAAAAGGCTGTATAAATGGAGACACAAATGAAATTTGCTAGTGACGGAATCTGCAATCTCACAGTGAAATCAAAAAAAAAGAAATCTATATGCACAAAAACAACAAACGATATAAGCCTGCAATGTACCACACAATCAGCAGAACCAACACTAGTTCAAAATCCTCAGAGGAGATATCAGTGGTATTTGTTCTGAATTTGGGGTTTCAGCTTGTTTTTATGGGTCAGTATAATGTTATGCCACATTTGGACAGTTTTGATCATTTAAGCACAAATTCATGTCCTTCATCTGAATTTTATTGTTTTGAGGTTTGGCCTTCGGAGTCTAACCCTTGTGTGACCTAATCCAGGTTTGGCAACATATGAAATAAAATATTATTAATTATAATTAATATAATTAGATTATTCATTTGAGGATGCTAACTATGAAGCAAGACCCACCGTTTCTGTGTAGAAAATATTAAAAAGTAATTGGTTTTGGTTGCTGGAAACGTGTATACATTTGTAAAAATGAATGAAATTTTTAATAAGATATGTGAAACACAAAGGAGTGACTTTGGGTTTCACTTTGGGTTGACTTTTAAGTCAGAACAAATATTTTAGTTGAACAGAATAAGAAAAACTACAACAGAGTACATTCTGTTGGCTCATCAATAAAACAAAATCAAAGCTTTTGAATGAAAAGTTGAAAAGCACTTAGTTTTGATGACCAAAATGACTTTGACATTTGTTATATGACTGGTTTTAGAAAAAGCTCATTACTTATTTTTTACAACTTAAAATATAAATTAAATAAAAATAAAATTTTCAAAATGAAAAATTCAGAATCGTTTTTTTTTAATTGAAGTGTCGATTGAGCAGTCTGACAAATGTTTTCAAAGTAATTAAATAAATGTAATTTGCATATAAGAGTTTTAATTTGCAACATCTTTTTTTTATTAAAAATGTAAAAACTCATGTATCAAATAGGACACATTGGGCCTTGAGGGAATAACCATCACATCCGCTTTGAAATCTGCAAGTAAAAATCTGCAATTACTAATGACCTTCACTTTAAGCATCTTAAGATTTTATTTTAAGATTTCATGTTTTGGCTGCTGTGTTAATGCATTTTAATTTTTAAGGTCACTACGTTCCATCTGTGAAAGGTAATATGCAAATTTGTGCAAAACCACTTGTGTGTCATTTGCTTTAATTAATAACTCTTTTCTTGTCTTCTTTACTCTACATTAAAGCTATTTTTTATTACAGATGGAAGATTGTTACCTGGATAAAACTGTCACATTTTCAGAAATGTTACTTATTCTAAACCTGTTGTAAAATTCCTCATATGTACTGTATATAGCACAAGTGTAAAAAGGAATTTCATTTTGTGTTTCATCAGAAATAATTATGGGAAAATTCTGTTAGGTCAAAGTAACTGTGATTCAGACTCATCTGAGATTTTTAGTACATGCAAGTATGGAATCATTTTGAAAATCCTAGGTGGCACAACATTCAGGCTGATGACAACACTCGATCCTCCTTTCTTATGGCTGATGGGTAATTAAAAATAAAATTGTGCACAGATTCAATCACATTTACAAATCATTTTAATGAGTCAGCCAGTAAAACACAGCATTCTTTGAACATTAAATCCAGTATTTTATTTAAATTAAGCATCCCTGTAGGTAGTGCTGTCATTAGTACTATTCATTATGAGCGGTCCAAATCAAAAAGCCATGAGATGTATCTTTATGACTGCACTACTATCAGTGTCCCACAATAAGACATATATAATAACTGGTTAATTGTATCATATCATACCACCATAGAGTTCAGAAAAAAATAGTACATCAGTCTGCATAGAGCACCAAAACTTAATCTTGAATGCAAAATTCTAGATGGCCAATTCACAGCGATTTTACTGCAGAAAGGTCAGTGCTCTATCTACTCACATATCACTGAAAAGAGTCAG